TGTCCCTCTGGAGCTAAACCTGCAGCAGATCCCACTCATTGCTTTCCTCATGTCTGGCAGCGAGGACATCAGACAGAAGCATAGCAACATACTTGAAGTTTACTCAAAATAAAATCATTTAACTTCCTTTCAAGAATGACTGATGACTTCCCTTCAAGAAATTCCCTTCAAGAAATGACTTCCCTTCAAGAAATGCACCAGTCTGGAAAATCAAGGCTGAGAACATCACTGTGAATTTTGTATAAATAAACTGACCCTTTACAAGATATGGTGGTAATGCACGTGGGTGGGTCTGCTATGATAGAGATGTGGACTCTCATGCATACAGGTTTCATAACTGCAATAGAAATTTTCAATTAAATGATGCATGCTCATGACTTTCTGTTTGTATTGCACTGCAGGAAGGGGGATCCAAGCAGCAACCTAGATTTACTGCGCTGCCTCAGAAAACCTAGTTCAAAACCCACCACACAATTCAATCACCCAACAATGAAAGCTCAGCAACGTGGTTCCTACTTGTTGTGGCTGGTAGTTGACAATCTTGAGGTGTTTCTATCTGTGCCAGCCATCTCTGACTCTCTTAGTTTCTGTTGGCCAGGGTGTGAATCAGACTATCTGTTTACAAGAAAGTTCTGTCATCATTTCAGGACCAGTGGCAGCCTTTCATTTACTGGAAATAATTTTTCAAGTTTGGCCATAAGAAACATATACCATGTGCTTCACAAGTTGAGGGGAAATGAGATTGTTTGAAATACATACAGGAAACTCATTTTGTCTGTAGCAGACCCACTTGCTGCTGAAGTCCATATTTTCAAGGTAAAAAGCCATGAGTCACGTGTTGTTGCACGATATGCTAAAATGCACAAAAACTTCCCCAAGTTCAGTTTCTTCTTTACTTCCCTCATTCTACCAAGCCACAGAATGGATTCTGAGCATTCAAACACATAGGGTTAGAATTGCATTAGAGATCTGTAAAAACTTCAGTAAACTGGAAAGTGAAAAGACAAAGAAAGGTTTTTGGCCAAATGCACCTCTAAATATATGCTTAAAGCAACAAAGAAACCAAGAAGAAGATAAAGAAGTCAAAGACAAAGAAGTCCAAGAGAACGACAAAGACAAAGATGAAGAGATGAAGAAGAAGAAGAAGAAGAAGAAGAAGAAGAAGAAGAAGAAGAAGAAGAAAGGGTAGAAGAAAACAAGAAGGGGAAAGAAAGAAAAACAAAACATAATGCCAAAGTGTGGGGTTTTGTCTCCAATGCCTCAACCTCCTTTTAAAAGGAAAGGATCAAAATTTGCAGAATGGAAGGGTTACTGTGGAAAATGGCCTTTGCACCAAGGCACTGATGGTGTGTCTGGACCACTATGAATGTCCAATACATGGCAAAGCCTGGAGCCTGGTGGAGGCTGAGGCCAGGACCCAGGACTTGAGGCCCCTGGGGCTGAGGTGGCAGGGTCTTTGTTGCACCCTGGGGGCTCTGCCTTATTGGGCCTGCAGGGCTGCAGCATGGATGCTGTGGTAGAAAACGGTGTAAGGCAGGAGGTACTGGGCTCCTCTGCATTCTGCACACTCCCTGCGTGGCCTGAGCACAGGAAGATTCCAGTCCTCCTTGCTGGAAAAAGAGACTCTGAAGAAGATTCTGGGTGTCCTGTGCCAGACACAGATGGTCACAGTGACTTCTCAGGTAGGGAGGGCAGGACACCCACCACAGCACGATCCACATGGCAGATTTAAAAGTTAGTCATGAATGATGTGTTGCCTTTCTGAATAAAAAGACTCCTTATTTTATATATCTATAAAGTGAAGCTTGAATGTTCTTCCATATGCTTATCCTACATTACACATAAAAGAAAATTAAATCATCCATTTCCACTCACCTATTCAAGAAAATACCAACTATTTATTCTGAACTGAATTGAACAGAAGAGCAGCAATATTGAATGGAGCACTATAAATAATGCAATGGAAAAGCCATAAAGGCATCCCTCCCAGGATGAGGGGTCTGCCACTGACCAGCTCCTCGCTCCTGTCCTCATCTGCTGTGCAGGCTTGTGTCTCTTCACTGCTGGGTGGAGAGAGAGCCAGGACACAAGCTCTCTTCCATCTCAGGAAAGATCAGGGACATGGCCTAGGACATGGCCTTCTTTTAGCATTTTCAGTGGCTGTAATTTATAATTAACTCAGCAGCTGTGCTGTGGAACATTCATGGTATCTAATTGTCCACATTTTACCTGATTAAGAAGAGAATATGGTGTCTGTAAATCTCATTTTTATAATGACCCTTAGGAGTGGAATTTCCAGGTTAAATGTATATAAGATAAATTGAGGGTCACAGATTTTTCACCTGAAGCCTCAGCATAGAGCTAGAGCCTGGTAGAAGAATACTGAGTCTGCTCACATCTCTGTGGAAATCTGAAGTCACAGAGATGGTCCAGGCAGAGGTTCAGGACACCATGTCTCCTAGCAGGAAGCATGGCTAAAAAATACCCAGGTCCAGGCTGTCTCCTCCATCAGTGAGTTCTCAGGAAAGCATCACACACTGCACACTGGACAGGGGAGAACTGGAATGGTTCCAGAGCTCCTTCCTACATGCCTGTCTCACTCAGGGGAGCTCTGTATGAGGCCAGTCTGTCACAAACCCCAACATGACTGAATGTTTTCCACCCAGGTGCAGATCTGAGCTGCCACGTGTGGACTCACCATAGCTATGGAGCAGGACAGATGTTTACAGGGAGCAGGTCAGGAGATGGGGACACTGCAGGCAGGTCAGGGTATGAAGCCTTAAATAAGAGACCAGGCCCTCACCAGCCCCAGTTTCCTCCATCAGTAACCAAACCCTGCAAGAGTGTGCATTAAAAACTGAGTAAGGGAAAGGAGTTACAAAATTACATATTATAGGATAGTTTGAAGATACAAAAGTAAATGTTAGCATCCGAAAGTAAAATGACATGTGACCCTTAATGGATATGTGGTGAGCATTGATGTCCCAGAACCACATGCATCAGAATGAAATAGTCTGATGAACAGAGCAATAAGGAGCACAGGCAATGGGTAAAAATCACAGCTTCTTAATAACAACAACAAAGCTGGGATACAAAAAGTGCACTGGTGAATTTTATCCAGTATATAATAAAGAATAAATACTGATTGTTTTTCAATTCTTTGATCAAGTTGAAGGAAAACCCACCATCAACTTCTTTTAAGTGACAAAGTTAAAGTTATCCTGAGAATGAAGCCAGACAATAATGTCTTAAAAATAATGTAAATGAAAATACTCTGTTGGCTAATATTCCTACCAAACATAAACAAAAGTGTTCAGCTAAATGTTTGCAACGTTAACTCACCAGCATATTCAAAATTAACCAACATTATCAACACTGGGCTCAATCTCAGTGGTGCAAGAATGGTCCCTCTCTAACAAACTATCTGTTTCCACTGGTTTTAACATGTATCTTACTATATTCTACTATATGTGATAGTATAAAGAAAATTTTTTAAAAGGCAAGGAGATAATATAGAAACCATTGTTCATTTTCTGTTAACTGGTTCTAAATACCCTGTAATTCTTTCATTCTGTTGAATGGCTTCACACTGTCTTGATATGCTTGATGCTATCGTATATGAAGTTATACTCAAATAATTCAAGGAATGAGGCACTCTGGTGACTACTATTATGTTAGATTATCTGGGAGTGAAACACAATTATGCTTAAATTGTTCCATTCTGACCAGTGTTGTTCTATTACAATGTCATCTTTTATCTCAATCTCCACCCTTTTTTAAATTAAAATTTTTTATTTTTTTCAATTAAGGAAAACTAAATTTAAAAATAGCAGGATATATTATAGTAACTATTTGTTTTCCTATTAACCTGATTTGAACCCCAGTATTGCTCTCCACATCTTGTTCTGTCTGATTTTACTATATTCTATTTTGTTTGATAGTACCAAGTTTGAGGGTATAGACAACCACTTTGAAGGCAATAAGATTTATTATGATGCCCATTATAGTTTGACTATTATCTTCTTTTGAAGTCTTGCAAGGTTTCCAGTGTAGGTTTGATTGGTCTTGTTCTGTACTGTTTTGATCAATTCTATTATATCTGATGATATAGCAACTCTTTTCAAAAATAGCAAGAGGCACAATGGTAACCATTTTTGATCATCTGATATTCTATTTTTGCATCATGTACTATGCCCATCCTTCTGTTCTAACTGTCTCTGTTTTGTTTAGTCATGTTAGGATTTATTCTCTTCAAAAAAATGTAATAAGAACTGTGGGAGTAAAAAAACTCAAAACTTGTAACTGTTATTGTAAAAAAGAGAGGAAAGGAAGGTGGTCTAAGGGATATAACTGCATGCTTGAGTCTGTAGGATGGAAAATCATATTACTGAGCTTTTGTTGGATCACTGAACAGAACTTTCTGCAATCTCATTGTATGAATGTCAACTTTATATGCTTTAATTTTATAATTTTTACAACTGTTTCTAAGATGACTGAAAGGATTTTTGCCCAGATAGGACACTGTAGCCAGGAAAGCCACAACCGGAAGCAGGAAGCCCCATCTCCCCTGCCCCTACGAAGTTACCTGTGATGCCATCTTCCAGCCCCTGGAAATTTACATATGGTGCAAAACCTAGGACCAATGGGCTACTTGTGTATCCCTAGTGCCCGCCTTAGGTTCCACCCCAAACCGAGGCTATTTATAGGCCCCCATGCGACGTGTCCGCTGGAGAGATTGCTGGACGCCAGCGGTGAGGGTGCTGGTCATTTCTCTCCATGTTCTCAGAATAAAGGCCACTTTTTATTTTATATTTCTCATCTTTTGTTAATATTTTTCATCTTTTGGAAATAACCTTAGCAATGACAATATGTAACCTATTAACTAGTGATTTCTTACTGTATTTTTTCTTGAAATTCTGTATTACTTGTACCCTTTTACTGCTTTGTTTTTTATTTCCTTTCTTCTCTTTAATTAAAAAAATAATCAAACCTGGAATGGATATCTTTTATTTATTTATTTATTTTGGCTCTGGAGATGAAACTCATGACCTCACACTTGCCAGGCAGGTGCCTTAAGCCACTGAGCTAAACACCCAGCCCACCAATGGATATCTTCTACACCTTGTCATCTTCAGAGTAGTTGCCTCTGCTCTTGAACTTGATACCAGCAAGCATACCCAAAGTGAATAAAATCAGTCAAGGCCAAATAACATTGAAACAATCCAGCTTCAAAGAACATCAGTCATAGAAGACAATATAAGTAATATAGGGATTCAGTTTTAGTTAATAGGAAATTAAGGATAATTACCATGGTATAAACTGCTATTTTTGGGTTATCTCTCTGTGCCCTCAAATCTAATATGAGTAGACAGACCAGAACAAAATATAACCAAACTAAACAGAGCAACAAGACTTTAGCTTTTAAATCCTGATACACTTTTAAGTATGTCCTCTGCCTTCTTTTTTTAGGCAATTCCTCACCTTTCTCCTTCTCAGGATATTATTATTCACTGTTCAGAGTGATATTAGTCTAGTCTCTTATGTTCCCTTTCAGCATATATAAAGATAAAGGCAGCTACTACAAAGACAATGAGAGACATTATGGTAGTCATTATCGACTTCGCCAAAATCAGTGTTGAAGATCGAAAAAGCAAGCTTGATTAGTTCTATAATCTTCAGTATATATTCAATGTGTGTGAGGATGGGAACAACTATTTGGAAGAAAACTAGAGACAGTAAGATAGACAGTGAACATTTCCAGTGGGCGTGCTTTGAAATCTGTGTTTCCTTAACTTGTTTTCTTATGAACTGTTTTGCTCTGTTTCGCTATGTTTAATCTTACCCTCTTTAAGAAAAAAAAAAGTGTGTAGGACAGATAGGCATAGTAATAACTTTTTGGTGGATCATTGAGGTGAACCATGACAGTGTCATTATTTGAATATCAGTTTGTATGCTTTAAATTTGTAACTTGAACAACTACTTCTAAGATGACAATATGATACTAATCAACTAGTGATTTCTTATTGTTTATTTTTCTGAAATTCTTTATTATTCCTACACTTTTTTCCTCTTTAAATAAACAACATTAAAATTCACCATAAAAATACAAAATTTAAGTTTTAAAGACAAAATATTAAGTACGGAGGCACTATCCATACTTGAAAGTGAAAAGCCCATTTCAGTTTAGGATGTTTAGTTACAAGATGCCATGTTGAAGCACAAAAACAACTAGATTAAAAAATCTAGAGAGGTACAAGTGTTTAACTGAAAACCAAATGCAATATGTGCACCTAAGGAGAGCCCCACCTCAGATTTGTCATTTCTGGAATATTTGTGAAGAAATATTGACATCTAATTTCTGTATTGATTATTTCTTCAGGTCTCCTTGGGGTTTTTAAAGTAAACTTAGATCTAAACTGTCTGAACAGTGATGCTTTTTCTATGTATTTAACAAGAAAGATGGCTATATTTCTCACATAGTTAATCCACATATCATCTCTGCCTAGTGAACTATTTCAGATATGTAACAATGATCAAGCATGCTGAGAGTATTCCCATAACACATAGGATGTATCTCGTGTGAGTTTTTTCATGTATTTCACTTACAATCTGGCTGGTGAAAGTGTCTCCACTTGCTTACATAGCCAGTGGTTCTTCCCAGTGTGAATTCTTTCACGTGTTTTGCAATGACTATATGCAGTAAAAGCTTTGCCACATTGTTATATACATAGGCTTTCTCACCAGTGTGAAGTCATAGATGTATTTGACAAAATCCATGTGTGGTGAAAGCTTTCCCACATTCTTCACATACACACAGGGTTTCTCAACCATGTAAATTTTATAATGTATTGTACAATGAGCATTTCTGCTGAAACCTTTTCCACATTCCTTACATATGTAAGTTTTCTGCCCAGTGTGAAGATTTTCATGCATTATGCAATATGTACATGTGCTGAAACCATTCTTATGATGACTATATACACTGGTTTTATATTGAATGTGAACTTTCATGTTTCTTACAATCTCCCTGTGTTTTAAAAGCTTTCCCACATTGCTTACACACATATTGTTTCTCTCCAGTGTGAATTCTTTCATGTTCCTTACAATGTCCAGGTCTGGTAAAAGCTTTCCCACATTGCTTACATACATAGGGTTTCTCTCCAGTGTGAATTCTTTCATGTTGCTTACAACAATCAGGTCTGGTGAAAGCTTTCCCACATTCCTTACATACATAGGGTTTCTCTCCAGTGTGAATTCTTTCATGTTCCTTACAACATCCAGGTCTGGTAAAAGCTTTCCCACATTCCTTACATACATAGGGTTTCTCTCCAGTGTGAATTCTTTCATGAACCTTATAACTTGCATGTGTGTTAAAAGCCTTGCCACATTGCTTACATACATATGGTTTCTCTCCAGTGTGAATTCTTTCATGTTTCTTACTGTATCCCCATGTGTTAAAAGCTTTCCCACATTGCTTACATACATATGGTTTCTCTCCAGTGTGAATTCTTTCATGTTTCTTACATTCTCCCTGTGTTTTAAAAGCTTTCCCACATTGCTTACATACATAAGGTTTCTCTCCAGTGTGAATTCTTTCATGTTTCTTACAACATCCAGGTATGGTAAAAGCTTTCCCACATTCCTTACATACATAGGGTTTCTCTCCAGTGTGAATTCTTTCATGATTCTTACAAGCTCCCTGTGTTTTAAAAGCTTTCCCACATTGCTTACATACATAGGGTTTCTCTCCAGTGTGAATTCTTTCATGTTGCTTACAACAATCAGGTCTGGTAAAAGCTTTCCCACATTGCTTACATACATAGGGTTTCTCTCCAGTGTGAATTCTTTCATGTTGCTTACAACAATCAGGTCTGGTAAAAGCTTTCCCACATTGCTTACATACATAGGGTTTCTCTTCAGTGTGAATTCTTTCATGTTTCTTACAATCTCCCTGTGTTTTAAAAGCTTTCCCACATTCCTTACATACATAGGGTTTCTCTCGAGTGTGAATTCTTTCATGATCCTTACAAGCTCCCCGTGTTTTAAAAGCTTTCCCACATTGCTTACATACATAGGGTTTCTCTCCAGTGTGAATTCTTTCATGTTGCTTACAACAATCAGGTCTGGTAAAAGCTTTCCCACATTGCTTACATACATATGGTTTCTCTCCAGTGTGAATTCTTTCATGTTGCTTACAATGTCCAGATTTGGTGAAACCTTTTCCACACTGCTGACATACATAGGGTTTCCCTCCACTGCAATATTTTTCATGGATCTGAACATCGTGGTGTGTTTCTGTTTCTTTCACATTCACATTACCTTCTGCAGTACAAAGGAATACTTCTTTACACTGCTTCCAAGATGTATATACATAAGATTTCCCTAGCTTGTCATTTCTGTAAAGACAAAATCACATATAGGATTTATAACCATATTAATAAGCTTTTCTTGGAGAGTTGAACAAAACTGTTTGCAGTCTCACTGTTTGAATCCCCAATTCATATGTTTCACTTTTGTATTTCATAACTATTTCTATGATCAGCATTTGTAATCATCATCTTGCAATTTCTTATTGTTTTTTTCACTTTGAAAGCAGTATTATTTATACTTATTTTATCTTATTTAATCTTTCCTTATATTAAATTTTAAAAAAGAAAAATTCACAGTGAAATTGGTCTCCATTTAATGACTGCATTAATATCAAGTTCTGTTTTTAATGCCTGCTAAGAAATTCTGACCATGAAGCAACAGAAAGGCCTTGTAAGATATGTTGAAAACAACCAAAAGACTGGTACACATTTGGAAATCTTAAAAGTTGGTACTTTGAAATGCATAATCTTTAGCTTCACTTTGGGCATGGGTACATATATGTATCACATGCAGATTATTCTCATATGTTTCCCCATCACAATCTCCCTTCTGTCCTTAACCTGTAGTCCCCTTTTCCATATGGTCAGTCTTACTTTTCTCTAACAACCCTGTTTCATTTCTTTACACATTTTGTATTTTGGTTTCTCATCTAAAAGAAAGCCAGTGACCTTTTAGGTTTTATAGCTGAGCTATTTCACTGAATTGATGGTTGAAAGACCCATCTAATTCTTATGGCAAGTGACATTATATTATTTATTTTTTGACATTACATAACACATTGTTTTCCATTCTGGGCTGGGAATGAAGAACAGGTCTTAGCATAAATCTATAGCTTTTTAAAAATCTATTTTAAGAGATTTTCATAGATCATTAAGCTGTGAAGTTTGAACTTGAAATTGCCATTCTGCAAAATCTGATTCCTACTGTGCTGGGTTTACAAGAATGCACAATCACAGAGAGTCTATTAACATTTTCCTTCTCTACAAATCCAGTGATAGATAGATAAGCTTCAAGGCCTGATCTGTTATAACATGATCTGCTTTGTATATGAATAAGCATGTATCAGTATTTTATGCAGATTTTGTCATTTTGAAAATATTCAGGACAAGTATGAGGGGATCAATTTCTAGAGACAACTGCATACTGATATTCAAAATGAGTGCACTAACATTCCAACTGCCTACTAAGAATATTAGTCAGAATCGACGATTGTCTAGAGCGTGGCTTGGAAACATGAGCACTCAATTTTATTTCAAATTCTATTGCAATCTTAGCAATTATTAGATAATGAATGTGTTGTATTCACATGTATATATGGGTAGAAAAACTGAAGGGAGAATGTCATAACTCAAAGTGTATGCCTTTCGTATACAACTATATGCAATGTCATACATTTTCATGATTTAATTCCCTCATATATACACTAGCTTATACATCTTTGGAGAATATTACTGACATTAAATTGAATGGTGCCTCATTTCTTTGGTGGTCACTTTTCTGCTGACTCACTAATTACTCAGGAACATTCCTCTCCTTGTGAGTGTGAATTACCTTAAGTATCTCCAGTACATTTTGCCTTCTTTTTCAGCTTCCTTGATGTCCCCAAGTCCTCCTGAATTGTAGACATAGAAATACCAGGACTCAGTTGAGTAATGCATACAAATTAATAGATTTTGTTTAGATTTATGATATAATGTGTCCAGGTCTGAGATATTTTTAAAAATATTTTCATATTCTTTTTAATGAAACAGCACTAATGAGCAACAAAAAATATTCTGACAGCATGAGTGCCAAAAAGGTTTCATCCTTACCTATTGCAGCCATGTTCCTAAAGATTTCACCCATCACATCTCTGTAGAGGTTCTTTTGGGATGGACTCAGCAAAATCCACTCCTCATTGCTGAAGTTCACAACCACATCCTCAAAGGTCACTGCCTCCTAAAGGATCATACATATATTTCTCAAAGGAAGGTTGAGACCCCAGGTTTGGGATATCTTAAATTCTCTCCTACAAATCTGAATCAAAAGCAAAGTGTGGTGGTGCATATCTATAAACCCAGCACTCAAAAGGCAGAGAGAGGAACGCATCAGTGAGGTCAGGGCAATTCTAGGCTCCACAGGGTGTTCAAATCCACCTGATATACATACAGAAAGCTTGTCTCAATAAAACAAAACTAAACTAAACAAATAAATCCAAACAAAACAGCTGAATGAAAACTGATTTGTTCAAATTTAAATCCATGTCTTGGTCATTAATTTTGTGTTTATACACATTTTTGAAGACAGCAAATTTGATGCTAGATTGCAACTCACTGCTAATGTAACAGCCAAATAGGAGCACTGATTCTTGTGCTGAGTCATGGCAAGATTCCCTGTGCACTTTCTCTGAAGCAGAGCTCACAGTGAGAAGCCTGCAGGACCAGCAACCACAAAGCACAGAGGCAGATAAATGTCTCATCAATTGCCTGGGAAGCCAAGCAAGCACCTCCCCTCCCCGGTCAGCGGTGGCAGTCTGGAAAAATGCAGCCCTTCCAGGGGGATAACCAGCAGCAGCTCCTAAGGTCCCTGCCATGTTGGAACTTAGGACACTGGAAAGCCAAGCAAGCACCTCCCCTCCCTGGTGAGCAGTGGAGGTCTGGACAACTGCAACCCTTCCGGGGGGATAACCAGCAGCAGCTCCTAAGATCCGTTCTATGTTGGAACTTAGGGCGCTGTGAAACCAAACAACCAGCTTGCCTCCCTAGTAAGCAACCCCAAACCTACTGATGCACCACCTAGAATCAAACATCCCACTTCCCTACCCCTCTTCTCCTGTCACCCCACATTAGCAAATAGGAACCAGAATTCTGAGCATCTCATGGGAAGTTGAACATAGCAAATAAGGGGGACTTCCTTCTACTATCTCTTTGAAGGAAAATGTTTTTATTATTGTTTCACTCTATTCTGATTAATGGTACTGCTCAATTGAATATTCTGTTTTGATAAGTTCTATAATGTTCTGTATTTCATCTCATTTTGACATATGTGATTAAAGAACAACTATGACAAAGATAACAAAATATACTGTGATACCTATTACTGTTATCCCAGTAACCTGTTGTGAAGTTGTGTACCAATTTCACTGTGTGATCTTAGTTGACCTTATGCTGCCTTGTTCTGTTCTATTTTACCAATTTCAAAATTAAATAAAAAATCTCAGTAATCACTTTGATAGACTACAGATGATGTCTGTTCAAATCTCATTTAAGCCAATGAGTACTTTGTTCTTAATATACTTAAGCAGCATTTTGAAACATGAATTTAGTTTCATAGAACAAAAAATAAATAACATCAAATATTGTATATAAATAATAACTCAAGTGTTAGTGGAAAACAGCTGTATTTTAAAAATATGTATATAAAATGAAACCAGGCCCAAGCTGTAAATTATACCTCACTGTCACCAAGTGATCACTTTCAATTCAAATATAAGAAATATATCTTGGGAGGCTGGTGAAGGATTTCTTCCTTGAATTTGGGGCTAGCCTAAGTTACAGAGCTGTCTAAAATAGACAAACCCTGATTGAGACACCAAACAGACAAAGTGAAACTTAAAAAGAGACTGCATAAGACACCTTTGGTTTCTTTTAAAAAAAATTATAGCCATACAATACAGAAAAATTCCAACAATATTCAACACTTTCTCAGAAACAATGTGGGTATCGTCCTTACTACACAGAAAACATTTTCATAGTTGCGTATTTAGCTCAGTGGCATGAACACCAGCCTGGAAAGCATAGGTCATGCATTTGATCCTTGGAACAAAAAAATTGAAAATTTCAGCTTCATGACACTGAGGCATAATTAGAGATAATCAAATTAGATCTCAAGTATGGAACACAAAAATTATGGGTTGACAGGGATGTGGAATACTGATTGTTTGTTGCCAGAGCTAGTGTTGATCACCTCAGTGAAGCAATCAGAACCCAACTTTACTTCATACTTACTCTAAGAACTACCTGACTTTCAGTGAAGACGCTCTCTGTTGTATGTCCTGCTATTTGCTGCCTGTATCCTGTCAGCCACTTCCACATCTTTTCCACACTCCTCTGATCCATCCTAAGCAGGAAACCCTTCATGCCTAACTACAATATCACTGCAAAATTTCTATTTAGGGCTTCTCATTTACACTACTTAGATAAGTCCATTGTACAGAATTTCCATATTTAAATTGTCTATTAACAACCAAGCTACTAAATCAGCTCTTAATTCAGAGGAGACACCCCTATTCCTTTACATTCAGAAGGATATCACATGTATATTTCCATGCAAATGCGTAAATTTTGGAATTTTTCGATGAGAATTTAACAGGTAGCCCTTTCTGGAATTTGTCCTTCACAAATTTTTACCCCGTCCTTGATAACACTTTCATATTTGCTTCATATTTCTCAGAATTCAAAACTCTATGGCTATTCTCACAAACCTAGTCTGTGCCACCTAAATAATTAAGTATGATCAGAAATTATTTTGCACTGATCTGTATAATACACAGGAGTTCACCAGTTGTTTCAGAAGCCTTTCTCCGCTGAGCCACAGTACTACATGTCTCTGAATTCTCAGGACCTTTGTCACTACCTGTCATGAGGATGGAAATAGGAGAACATACTATAAATTTAGGAGATCACTATAAATACAAAGAAGCCCAAGTTTAAGTTGAGCCATTGTGGCTATGAGGCCCGGCATTATAGACATTAATAAACTCTGGACATTCCAGATCTGCTCCTCTGCAGAAAGAGGGCATAGACCTAGCTCATTAGTGCTCTACAAACTACAAAAGCATCATAGTCAGGGTCTTCCCAAGCTCCGCCCAATGACTAAGATAGTGGACTTACCAGGCTAGCAGTGAATTTCAAAGATGATTCTTGAGTCTGCTGCTGAAATAGTGAAGCCAGGGTTCTGGGGACCCCAAATTACCCTTGCCAACAGCAAGAGGCAAAAGGGATAGTGAATGAACCATGGCCAAAGCTGGAGAACCTCAGGAGCTGAAGCTAACTAAATACCTGAGGCTCCAGACACTGGAATTACTCCTAAACACTTGTAACCTGTTTTGCCCAATCCACGCTATTTCTGGGCGCCTATCCACAACCTCACCATTCCATGGCTACAGGATCTCTCAGGTTCTTTGTCAAGCAGGCCACAGGACATCAAAAGTACTAAATGAGATCCAGCAAGCATTTGCTACCACTGTTGTACTCAGAACAGGTAAATCATGCTGAGACACCAGAACAGACAGAAGTCACAGCCAGCAGTGTCCCACCTGATTGGACAGTTCATATAGCCTGCCCCTTCATCACTGATTGACTCCTGCTCTACTGTCGTCCTTCTGAGTCAAAAATAAACAGGGAAAGGAGCCCCTCCCTGCAAGAGAGGATCCCAAATAACAGACTGCATTGCAGAGACTTCTGGAGCTGCCATTCTTCTACAGTGGTGATCTCAGCTCGACAGAGGAGTATCTGTACTGAAGAGCTTTCCTCAGGCTTTTAATTTTCAAATCCATTTGATTTCAAGGAAAAAAGAACACATCAACTAAAATTAAATTCCAAAACATGTCAATCAGGGGGCAACAATGGTATATACATTGCACACTGTTATCCCCAGAACATTCACCCAGAGCACAAGACATCTGTAATGAATTTTCTAAACAGTGCCGGTCCTGAGTTATTTAAATACTATTGGCATGAGACATGGCTAGGTCCCCCAAGGATCCCATGCAGGAGACCAGATACCTTGCAACTATGGAGAAGACTGACACCTCATGCTATGGGCCAAGGCTCAAGATAAATGATAAGCAAATTCATCCATATCCTAAGGATTGATATTCTAAATAGTTCCCTAGCACTCTGAGGAAGTCAGGAGTCACCATTTAAAGAAATGTATCCTTATCCTAAAGACTGACATTCTAAATAGTTCCTATCATCCTGAGGAACTCAGGAGTCACCCTCCCAAACCCCTAAGGGAAGACACACAGCTGCCTAAGAATGCCTGCTTTCTATGTGACTCCCTTCCCCCTTTGTTCCCAATTAAATCAACTTTACCTGAACTTATAATCTTATTGGCTACCATAACTCTGTGCCACCTTATGCCCATCTGCATTGTGAGTTCCTAGTTTTCCCCACCTTAAACTCACTTCACCACATGATTTTACTCTATAAAGGTCCCTAGAATGGACAGTCTTTGGCAACCTGCTCAGGATACCTTCTCTCTGTCAAGCACCTTTTTTCTCTGAATAAGTATATTCTTCTCTTAATCTCTGTTGTTCCTAAAATTCATTCTTTGACTTTACAGGACAAAATCCTAATATCAGACATTGTAGACCGGGAGATTCATTCCAGGATAACAATATTAGTATAAACTTTTTCTTGAAGTCAGAGAAATCAGTAGTAGTTTGTATCACACATTGTTGATCTCACCATGCCATGGATACTTGCATTGAAGGCTTTAACCCTGCCTTTAAGTGCTGCTTCTTTTTCTGAAACTGAACTGATCTGTAATTTTGGTTATGGTATGGACCATGCATTAAGGAAATGACTCAAAATATTTCTTATGAATGGTTTACCAACAGCCATGGAGGAAGACAGATAGCAAAAATTCTTGTTTTGATTTCTTCATTCAAACCGAAGGATGTACTTGAAAGAGCTTTGACCTTCAAACACTTACAGGACTTCATGGTTGTAGTTCAAGGTGGAAGAATGAGAAATCAAGGATGCTTACTCATATGGCCACTTCCTCTTTTCTCCTTGAATACAACTTCCTCTTTCTTTCCCAGGGGCCTAAAGAAAATTCCCATCAGCTCCTAGCATGACATCAATGTCCCCTCCAAGCACCACATCCAGTCAAAAGTCACATATACCCTATAACCCCATAGTCATTCGGGGGAGAGTGGGGAGCCAAACCCTTGG